GGGGCGCCTGAGCGCCACCAGCACCTCCCTGAGCTGCCCGGCGAGCCCCGCGGCCTGCTCTGGGGGGGCCGCTGCTGACGCCGCCTCGCTTTCCAGTGTGCTCCTTCGCCTGCCACACCGCCTGCCGAGACAGCGCCCCCCAGGTGTGCCCCATCCCCCCCGAGCAGGCCAAGCGGCCTCTGGGTGTGGACGTGCAGCGAGGTGTAGGCACCGCCTACAAGGGCTACGTCAAGGTAGGCGCCCTCCTGCCCACCCCCACGCCCCACTCCTCAAGGACCCGCCCTGCCCTCACCCCGCCTCCTGGCCGACGCGGAGCACGGGGCGCCGCAGCCCAGGCGGCGACACCCTCGCCTGCGGGGCCCTGGGGCTTGCCGGCCTGCGACAGGCCGTCTCCTTGTCGGGTGCCAGCGCCATCACGTGCCGGCCCCCCGCGTCCCCTGCCTGCACCCCCCAAGGGGCCCTGGGCCTCCCAGACCCCACAGCCGCCTCGTCCCGCCGGCCGGTGGGACACGCCCTCTGTTGGCCGGCAGGTCCCGAAGCCCACCGGGGTGAAGAAGGGGTGGCAGCGGGCACACGCGGTGGTCTGCGACTGCAGGCTCCTCCTGTACGACCTGCCGGAGGGGAAGGCCACGCAGCCCGGCGTGGTCGCCAGCCAGGTCCTGGACCTCAGGTGTGCGTCCTCTCCGCCTCACCCCCCGAGGCGTCCCCATCACCTGTGCCTGCAGGTCTGGGGTCCCTGTGCCCGGTGGCCCCGGTGTGTGGGGCGGCCTGTGCCCGCGGGGCGGCACGAGCGGGCTCCTGAGGGCTGGGCTCAGGGTGCTGGAGGGGGCATCAGGCAGGACGCGCCGGCTTCTCTTCCTCTCCTGGCACCCGGGACCCCGGGACCCTGGGACCCTGGCACTGCGTGGCTGGGCAGGGGGAGGCTCGGGGCCTGGCGTGGGCGGGCGGGAAAGCGCCGTCCTCTCAGGCGCGTGGGCCGCTGGGCTGACTTGGCGTCTCCCCAGAGACGAAGCCTTCTCCGTGAGCTCCGTTCTGTCCTCAGACGTCATACATGCCACACACCGAGACATTCCGTGCATATTCAAGGTAATTCGCCATCTTAACAGCCCGTGGTTTAACAGGATCAGTCCTGTGCCCAGCGCACCCCTGCTCCCTCCCCCAGCGCCGGGGCACATGGTGGCCGGCCCGGCAGTCAGCTCCTGCCCCTCGGCTTCCCCACACGTCCTGGAACAGGACGGGGCAGCAAGTGGGCCTTGGCAGCGGCGGCCGCACTTTGGCCAGCTGAGATGGGGAGCCCCCCAGCCATGTTAGGAAGCTTCTGGAAGGCCACGGGCTCCCTCCCACCCCTCCCCTCCATCGGGACTGACCGCAAAGTGAGTCTGCAACCGCCTCCATGTGACACAAGCGAGTGGCCCATCATGTGGGGACGGCGCCCTGGCTCCTGGGCCGGGCTCAGCCACCCCGAGCTCTGGAGCCCGTTTTCCGGGACGTGGGCTGAGAGACTCTCAGCCAGGGTGCTGGAGAAGCGTCTTCAGTGTGGTGTGAAGCTCGTGGGAAAACCAGGCCTACTGCGTGTGGGCCTGGCTGCCGGCCGCCACCCCTCTGGCCAGCGTGGCGGGCTTGGCCTCGGGGTGCAGGGCTGCCCCGGGGCCGCGTCTCACAGCTCCTGTTTGTCCGTCCCGAAGGTGACAGCCTCTCTCTTCGGTAGCCCGTCTAAGACCAGCTCGCTGCTCATTCTGACGGAGAACGAGCACGAGAAGAGGAAGTGGGTGGGGATCCTGGACGGGCTGCGGTCCATCCTGCACAGGAACCGGCTGCGCGGCCAGGCGGTTCACCTGCCCCAGGAGGCCTACGACAGCTCGCTGCCCCTGCTGAAGACCGTGGTCGCCGCCGCTGTTGTGGGTACGTGGCCAGGCAGGCTTGCCGGTGGGGCCGGCGGGGCGGCGGTGCCCTGACGCTCGCCACCCACTCTGCCTGCAGATGGGGACAGGATCGCGGTGGGCTTGGAGGAAGGGCTGTACGTCATCGAGCTGACCCATGACGGTGAGCGGGCACTGCGTGGGCAGGCGGGCGGCGGCGGGAGCAGCTGGCGCCCCTCAGGGCCTGGCAGAGGGGGCGTGCCAAGGTGGCAGCGCAGGAGCCCGGCGCCCCGGACCCCAGCTCAGCGATGGGGCCGCAGTGCTGACGCCTTCAAGGCCTGTGGGGCGGGGGTGGGGGAGGGGCCTGCTGCATCCGCTTCCAGTGTGCTCAAATGGTGCCCGGCAAGAGCCGGTACAGACCTGCGCTGTCCCCTGCCTGGCCTGGGCCTGCACCCACCTGGGTGTCGGAGAGGGCAGGCTTGCCTGGGGCCAGGCGAGGGGCTGCTTGCTGGAACCCAAGGGCCCGGCGCCGGTGGACACGGCCCTTTGCCCCAGGTGCAGCCCTGGGCTGGTTGGGTTCAGGGATGAGCTGGGAGGGTCCCCCGCCCTGCGCCCCCACCTCGCTCGCTGGGGTGTGAGCTGAGTGAGGTCCTGCCCGCGGTCCTGGCTGGGGGCCCAGCAGACAGCCGCGCCGTCCACCCCGTCTCTGGGCGAGCTGACACCCCCTCCGCGCCCCGCAGTGATCATCCGCGCTGCCGACTACAAGAAGGTGTCCCAGATCGAGCTGGCGCCCAAGGAGAAAGTCGCCGTCCTGCGCTGCGGCCGCAACCACCACGTCCACCTCTGTCCGTGGTCGTGCTTTGATGGGACAGAGAGCAACGTCGACATCAAGCTCCCGGAGACCAAGGGCTGCCAGCTCATAGCCACCGCCACCCTGCAGAAGAGCCCGGCCACCTGCCTCTTCGTGGCCGTCAAGCGGCTGGTCCTGTGCTACGAGCTCCAGAGGACTCGGCCTTTCCACAGGAAGTTCGGCGAGCTCGTGGCCCCCGGCACCGTGCAGTGGATGGCTGCCGTGCAGGACAGGCTCTGCGTCGGCTACCCCTCTGGGTTCTCGCTGCTGAGCCCCCAGGGCGACGGGCAGGCCCTGCACCTGGTGAACCCCGCCGACCCCTCACTCGCCTTCCTCACGCAGCAGCCCTTGGACGCCCTCTGCGCCGTGCCGCTCCCGAGCGACGAGTTCCTGCTCTGCTTCAGCCACGTGGGACTGTACGTGGACCCGCAGGGCCGGAGGGCGCGCGTGCAGGAGCTCATGTGGCCTGCGGCGCCCGTCGCCTGCAGTACGTATCGTTGTGCTGCGCTCGGGGCGCCCGTCCCCCCACGGCCTCGGGCGGGCCCCTGGCTGTCCGGGAGGCGCGTGGCCCCGGGCGGAGACCGCAGGGCAGAGGCCCTCCACGCCGTCTCTGCGTTGCCACTCACGAAAACGAGCTCGTGGCTTTCGGTGGCCAGAGAAGTCGGGCTCTGAAGCCTGGGGCGTCGCCCGAGGTTGACAAGGTCGCGGGCAGGTGCGAGGCCTGCGTGCTGTGGCCCTGGCCGCTCTCGGCGTGGCGCTCAGCTCCCCGCCCTTCCCTGGCCGCACGCCCAGGAGCCCCCGGAGCCGCTGGGAGGCTGCCGCCTCTCCGTGCAGGGCCCTGGTGTGCAGGGCTGGTCCGCGGCCTCCTGGGCCAGCCGGGTGGGGGGGCCGGAGCCACACCGGGGCACCTGCTGGCATCGGCACCCACAAGCCCAAGCTGATGCTGGGCCGGTGGTCGCTCCTCCAGGCGGCTACTTTCTGGGCCCTGTTTTAATTTTTAATTCCAAAGAAAGGGTTGGCCGTGAGGCCACAGTGCCACCCGCCCGGAAGCCGGTGTCGCTGCTGGCAGCCCTCCAGGGGCCGGCGAGGTCGGCCAGGCTGGCCCTGGCCTTCGTTCTCAGAGGCTGCTGGCGCCTGCTGCCCGACAGCTGTTCTGGCCGGAGGGGCAGAAGTCACCTTCTCTGCATTTGGTCACCTGAGGGTGCAAGAGGTGTGGGAAGGGCCAGCTCCTGGCAGGAGCACTGGGTGCCCACCTGCAGCCCGGGCAGGGGGGGGGGGGGGGGCGCGGAGCCCAACGTGTGTTGGGGTTTGCACAGAGGGACGCTGTCCCGGCCTTTCTGGACAGCAGCCCGCCCCCAGCCGACCCCCGGTGTGGGAGCCGGTGCCCACGCGCTCGGGCACCTGCCTCTCGAAAGCCCTCCCCGCCGCCCCCGCTGCCAGCCGGTGGCCGCGCTGACGCTCTGCCCGCCGCAGGCTGCAGCGCCACGCACGTCACGGTGTACAGCGACTACGGCGTGGACGTGTTCGCCGCGGACACCGCCGAGTGGGTGCAGACCATCGGCCTGCGCAAGGTGAGGCGGGGGTGGGGCCGGGCCGCGGCCCCCTCCGGGCCCCGGCACCGCCGCCCAGCAACATGCACCCCGTTCCCGCAGATCCGCCCCCTCAACCTGGACGGCACCCTCAACCTCCTCGGCTGGGAGCCCCCGCGCCTGATCTACTTCCGGAGCGCGCGCTCCGGTGAGCCGGGGGCCGTGTCTGCGTGGGGGGCCCGCGTGCGCCCCGGCCGCGTCACTGGCGCCCCTGTCTGCAGGAGCTGCGGCGCTCAACGTGCCCAACACCTCGGACAACAGCAAGAAGCAGATGCTGCGGACGCGGAGCAAAAGGCGCTTTGTCTTCAAGGTGCCGGAGGAGGAGCGGCTGCAGCAGCGGCGGTGAGCGCGGGCGGCGGGCGGCGGGGCGCGGCCACCACCCTCAGCCCCTCTCTTCCCAGGGAGATGCTTAGAGACCCGGAACTGAGATCCAGGATGATTTCTAACCCCACCAACTTCAACCACGTGGCCCACATGGGCCCGGGCGATGGGATGCAGGTGCTCATGGACCTGCCGCTGGTGAGCGCGCCCCGCCACGCCCACGCCACGCCACGCCCACGCCCCGCCCACGCCACGCCTTGCCCTGCCCCACCCCGCCCATGCCGCGCTCCTCCCCGCCCTGCCGCGCCCCGCCCCGTCCCGCCCGTTCCCACGTCTGCTCCCAGTAGCCCTTCCCTGGCACAAGTGGCAGTTTCTGCTTCATCCAACAAAGGCCGCCGTGGCTGCGGCAGGCCTGGCCCTGCGAGGGCCCACTTGCCCAGAGCTGACCGTGGCTGTGCCCAGATGGGCGGGGTTCAGGCCCTGGGGTGGCCAGTGCCAGCCTGCCAGCGCTCCCAGCCGGAGCTGCTTAACTGTGGGTCTCTGCCCAGAGCACCGCGCCCCCTGCCCAGGAGGAGAGGCCTGGCCCTGCTCCCGCCGGCCTGCCCCGCCAGCCTCCGTCCAGGAGCAAACCCTACATCTCCTGGCCCTCTGCAGGTATGGGGGTGCTGGTGCAGTGCTTGGGGTGCTGGCCCTCTCATTCAGCTCTGACATGATGTTATCTGCTTCCCTAGGAGGGTCAGAGCCTGGCGTGGCCATGCCTCTGAGAAGCATGTCGGACCCCGACCAGGATCTGGACAAAGAGGTATGACCTGCTCCTGGGCACCACCTGGTCGCCTGGGGCCCCGTGCCACTCGCCGCTGCTCTGCAGAGCCCCAGGACCATTAGCCATGGGGGCTCCGACAAGGGCCCTGCAGGAGAAAGATGAGGAGCCCCCAACATTCAGGGCCTTCTTCAGCGCCCCCCCTTTTCGCTGAGTGCTGCTGCAGGGAATGGACTGTGCAGTGAAGGTCTTCCTGTGAAGTCTAGCTGGCCTTGGCTGCCGCAGGGAGCTGCTGGCCTCACTGGCCTCACTTTCCTCTGCCTGCCATTTGGGGGTCAGCTGTGGGCAGCTGCCCCTGCTCGTGCTGGAGTGTCCAGTCCCTGCTGTGAGTCAGAGTCCTCATGCGCTTGGTCGCACCCCTCTGTGCGTCAGTGTCCCTTGTGGGGTGCGCATGCTCCTGGGGTCCGCACCAAGGGTGGCGTAGGCAGCGAGCTTGATGGGGTGTAGACACCCTTTCCAGCCAGACTGCAGCCCAAAGCCCGTCCACTCCTGGCCATCTCCCCAGGCCCTCGGCTGCCCACCTTCCTGCTTTGTGGGAATTCCCGGAAATGCTCTTGCAAATCCTTCCAGTGTGGTCGACCTGTGTGCTTTGCCCCCACCTCGAAGCGTGCCTGTCATGCTGAGGGGTCCCCTGGGGGCCCACGCGTGCTCTCGGATGGAGCGGGCTCCCCTCCGGCAGCTTCCTGGCCATGTCCTTCTGCTCCTCCAAGTTGGTCTTGCAGCCAGCTGGTGGCGCGTGATGGTGGAGTCGCCACGGCTTAGCTTTCCGCCAAGTCCCACAAGCTCAGGTCATTTCGGGGTGTCCTCCACCGCAGCCTCTCCCTGCTAGGTTGCGTTAAGCTGCCGTGCTGCCACTGTGCCTGGAATGTTCCTTTACATTCCTGGTGGCTGCAGCTGGTGCCCACTCAGCCAGCAGCTGGCAGGTTCTGGATCCAGCTCGCTCTGCGCCCTGCTTGGTTCCGTGTCCAGTGGATGTGTGGCTGGCCGGCTGCCCTGGTGTGTGGCTGGCGTGTCTGGATGTCACCCCCAC